CAATTATTTTAAACTGAAATCTGGCCAAATTGGAACTTCTTGATAATTTGGTACAAAAAGAATTTTAGTTTACAATAATTGTATTTAAAATAAAATTTAATATTTGATTCATTGTAGTAGGAATCGCTACTCAAAGTTTTAGATTCATTATGTCCGCTTTGGTTAATTTGGATCTTCCACGGTTGTTGAAACTTTGGTTTTAAATTTCACTTCGTTGCGTTTTGGTTTTATTTTTGGGCTAAATTATTTGTCTTTTAGGTTTGGATTTGTTGTTAGGCAACTCTTCTGTTTCTCTCTATTTGGATTTCGTCTCTAAGAATTTCTATTTAAACGAAAAAATTTCTCATAAAAATAGCATATTCCATTAAGTAGTGAAAGTACATAAATTTAACAACCGAATCATATATATCCCACAAACAAAAAATTCATGATACTCGAATATTAAGAAATGACAAAACACATGTGCACAATATACTACTAAAGTCTAAATCAATTAATTTTGATCTAAACTAAAAAAAGTAAAAAATCTTCTTAAAATCTGTGCGTTAACGCAAATCTAAAGTGGTCGTACAATTAGAGGCAAACCGTAACCGGGTCTAAGAGAAAGCATATACGTAGGCGAATGTCGATAACCGGGAGAAACCGAGATCTCGAACCGGGACAAAACCAACGACAAAACTATTTTATACTCCATGGCGGTCAAGTTCCGACCGATACACATTCTCCCTCCAAATCCAAACGGCATAAAACCCATTTTATTCTTACAACCACCGTACAAACTGCCGTCGAATCTCTCGGGCTTAAACTCGTTAACGTCGTCTCCCCACAATTCGACGTCGTGGTGCATCGCCACCACGTCGATCCAAATGTTTGCTCCGTTTGGAATCACTCGACCGTTTACTTCAATGTCTCTCCGTGCTTGCCGTTGTGCGTTAGGCGCCGGAGGATATAGCCGGAGAACCTCGTTCATCACCCAACCCATCTGCATAAGATGATCATAAATTTTTAATTCGTTGATACTCAAGTTATTTAATTAACTAACTAACAACGTGATTTAATTGTTAAAGTATAGTTAAATGATCTGTCACACGTTTTAGTCATGAATAAAAACAAGTAGGATTATTCGTTATTGAAAGGATACTGCCACGTGGCATGTCATTTATCGGTCAGCGCAGTCGTTGACGCGCCTCAATGCTTCGATCATCGGGTACGTATCGCACATTTTGACTTGTATGTGAGCGTTGACTTTGACCACAGTGATCAGATGTAGATGAATTAAGTTTAAAATTCAAAGGTTTTTTTTTTTTGTTGGCGAAATCTTAAACTTATTTATGCAAACTTTTTTATATCCTCATTTACGTGCATTAATTAGTTTATATCTAAGCAAATGTGAACACGCTAAGCATTGTTTTGTGAACGCGTCTAAAATATGAAATGACATTATGTATGCATGCATATAATTAACCACGTGAATTGTTGTGTACTATATTTGGTAACGTACCTTCTTTAGTCCGGCAAGTTTGTTATATTCAATCTGGGAATCTCCGATGACTTGTCTGATCTCGTTTCTGATCGTGTCTTGCCACTCGGGATGAATCGCAAGAAGCATAAACGTCCACGTCAGCGCTAAAGCCGTTGTCTCGTGGCCTGCGAAAAAGAAGGTTTTACATTCGTCCACGAGCTCCCTCGCTGTAAACTTATCTTTATCGGCCTTAAGCAACATTCCGAGAAGATCATGGTGGTCGTCTCCTTCGACGAAAGATCTCTTCCGCTCTTCTATGATCGACAAAAGGAGACTGTCGATCTCTCGGCCTAACTCTCTCACTTGATGGTTTTGCTTGAAACCCAAAATGTTGCTGAATGGTACGCCTACGTAGCGGTTTGAGTTGAAGAGAGCGAATTGCACCGCTCTGAGGTTTTTTAGGACTTGAGTTCCGTTTGCTCCTCTGACTCCGAAGCTTGTCTTGGCGATTATTTCACCGGCTGTTCCTATGATCTCCCTCTCCATGTCGAACTCGGCATTGCCCGAGTTTATCTCTATGTCCCATCGGTCCAACATGTTGGAGGTGGATTCCACCATCATGTTTGCCATAGCCTATTATGTAAGACCATCAATTGAAAGTAAAGAAAAAGAAAAAAAAATTATAGTCTTTTTTCTTTGATTTGAATGAGTCTAATTAACATCTATTTAGTCTTTTCAACACCATAAGACCTTGAAAATTCCATGTCATGAAAAAGTGGTGGCTCGTGCTTTTTGAGAAAGAACTTTCAATTCTAAATTGTTGAATTATAATTTTCTATATTTTGGACTCTTACCAACGTAAAACAAGTTGATGAAAAACATTTTATTTTGTAAGTGTATAATACCTTAAGATTAAGAGGGGAAAATGCAGGAGTGATGATGTGGCGATGGCGAGTCCAATCATCGCCTTCGACCATAACCAGACCGGTACCGAACATTGGCTCTCTGTCTTTCTTGAAAACATTTGGTTTTCCCCAACTCTTCCCCAATACACCTTTCGACATAACACTCAAGAATTCTGGATCCGCCACATATACGAACGGCTCTATCCCTAGCCAGTACACAAACACTTTCCCTGCATGTAACAAATCATCTATGTTAATACTTACATATATAAACATGTATGTACATCAAAATGTTGGTAGTTAAACTGGTTATCCACATGATCTCTCGGACCGAGTCTGAGATAAGGTTAGGAAAATATGATTTAGGAATTGTGAAACCGTTTATTATCAAAAACTGATGATATTAGATCTGGAGAAAATATAGTCCAAATGTTCGGAACATAAATATGAGGATCGAGTGTTACCGTATTGTTGTTGCCACCAAGCGAAATGTGGAAGTGCAATGGAATGTATGTCATGGTTGATTATGGTGGAAGTTTTGCTTTTCTCCACCATTACCAAGGCCTTCTTTAGTTTCTTCATGTCATTAAGGTTTCCTAATGGAAAACTAGGAGGTGGACCGTCAAATCCGTTTTCTCTAAGCTTTTTCTGAGCTCGAACCGGCAATATCCAGCAACGCAGAAAAAGCTTTAAGAGCATAAGAGAAAGAACTATGACGAAAACGTTGAAGAACATGTACCAAACTCGAGCAACGTTAAGAAGCTCCATCTCGAATATGTCAATAAATACGTAAGTCAGATATTGATGTGTATGTAATATTGTTAAGAATTGTTTGTGAGGAAGTGATTTTTGGTGCAATAGTGGTTATTGTATTTAGAATGTTTGCAGGTGAAACATGGGAATGAACCAAATGAGGTATTTATAGATGTTTTCTAGGTTCGGGTCTAGAGAATGTCAGACTTTGACCAACGAAATCATCTTCCCTCT